AGTGATACCTTAAAAAAATAATTGCTTGACAGTTTTTGAAGCAAATCAAAAAATTTGGTAACTAAATACAATATTCTAAAATAAAATGGGTATTTTACGCAAATTCGATTATAACAAGCATAAATTTTAATAAATCGAACCTAAAAACATTAGTAATGTATTTTTTTTAACATAAAATTTATTTTCTGTGTTGGGGTAATAAAATGACTAGTAGGCCACAATATAAAAGGCTAGATAGTAAAAAATTTGTGCTTTATTTAAAGAAGACGTGGTAATTCAAAAAAACAAATTACACTTAAAAAAAGAAATGAAACAAAAATTATAGAAAAAAATAAAATGAAAAAAACCCATGAATATTTTTAAATATTAGCAGAATACATAAAATACGTATTATAAAAGTAACATTTATACTGCGGCAGTACACACTTCTAATGCTGCTAGAAGGAGGGGCTATGTTTTTAAGTTCACTTTACCAGCCAATAAGATCGCTATATATAATGACAGTCAGCATGGAACTATAAAAGACGATCCCCCTTCCAAAGAAAGACGATGCACGCCAAAAGACAACACGGCTTACGAATCGGAATATGCGACACCAATATTACTTTCGCCACCCTTCTTTGTCTTCTTCTCATTATAACTTGCTTACTAACACTATTTATGAATCTTATCTCTTAAATCCGAACAACTTCCTAACACCCGCAATATAATTTTCTTTCTTAAAAGTATTCCGATAGTACGTTCATTAAATGCTTAACTTTATGAAAATTTTATTTCTAATTTTGTTGTTTGGAATGTAATTGTGTTTCTATTAAAGAAGTAAATTTTGGATTTCATTAGAAATAAAAAATATCAATAACGAATTCTTTTTTTTAAGGTCACAAAAAATGTAAATTTTTGAATGAATGGATTTATTCAAAATGTCTTTTTTTGTTTTTGTACAGTCAATCTAAATATAAATTACATGCAAATTTGAAATTTTATTAATAAAAATATACAGTATTTCGAAAAAAATATTCTATAATCAATTACTTTCTAATAGAAAAATTCGCTTAATAGTTTAAAGTATATTAAATACCAAAAATCTTGAATTAGAAAATAGCAAAAAAGGACTAAATCACATAAATGTAATATTGACTCTATTTAGTATTCCAAGAAAATTTTTCTCAGTTTAATGCTCAATAAAGAGCAAATATAACGTAAATATATTTTTTCCTGATTTGTTATCAATCATCTAAACAAAAATATGTGAAGTAGATTCGTTACGCAAGAAAAATTAAGATATATAATTTTTTACTTGTTCGATTGTTTTAAAAATACGATTGTAACAGAAAAAAACTTGAAAAAGTGTTGGTTGCGTTTTTGATGTATTTCGGTTATTTGATTTTCAAAATGAAAATAAAAACACCTTTTGTGCATATTAATTTATCCATATTAGTTTTTTAACTTTACTATATAATATTTCCGCCAATCATCATTTATCAGATGACACTCTTATCGTTTTCAAATATATCAAAATAAATCAGATAATACATAAAAATTAACCACAATTAAGTTTTTTTTGATATTTTTTACTTTTAAGTTTATTACATTGCTATGTTTTTTATAGGTAAAATAAAATTATATTAAAATAAGAATTTTATTTGTATTTTTACCAAAACTTGATCTGATTAAATATTCCAATATGATATAAATTAATATCTTTACCAATGGATTTTCTAAAATTTTATATAAATATCAAAATCTGTTTTGAAAAATAACAGAATGATATTAAAAATAGACTTTTGTCTTTATAATTTCAAAAAAAAATTACAACTAGGGTATATTTCACAAAAACATGTGAATTTGTAAAAATAGGCATAAAATCTTATTTTTTTTAGAAATTTAGTGAATGAATATGTTTTTTATCCTGTTTTATACTTTATTTATATAAAATTTTCAAAAGGCGTGTAATAAAGCTGAAAAGATGGAATAATAACTTTAATAGTTATTATTATATGTCTAAAAAATATATGTGTGAATTTTTATTCTAGTAATCGTGATATAAGAAGTAATATATTGTTAGAAAAGAAAATAAGCAAGAATTTAATATGGTTTTTTAGTTTCAAAAGACGTTTTTATTGTGTTTTTTCCGAATATTAATATAATACATAGGTATTATGAGAGTTCTCAAAAATATCATAAATAAGTAATAAATTTAAAAAAACAAACATACAGTTGAGAAAATAATACAAATGAGTGCTTTCATAAAAAAACCATCTTCAAAGCTATAGAACTCCGTTACTTTCAAGTTTAACCTTTTTCTACTTCTCTTATATATTTCTTTCCCAACAAAGCTATAATCAGATTTTATACAAAAGGTTGAATAATCGGGGTCGACCTATGGATCTTTCCGATTTATAACAGCATTTAGTTTTTTGAATATATATATTCTCGATTTGCTTATTTTAAAAAGCTTTTTTTAAGCTTATTTTTGATAAAATGTGACCAATTAAGTTTTAATCAAAAAATATCCAAATATTAATATTTTTTATTTTGATTATTGGCAATTTTTTACCAATAACCGTCAACAAACGATCAATTTGGATCAAAAAATCCATCTAACTTCAAATATAAGAAAAAAGACAAATCTCAACAAGAAAACGTCAAAAGCATATTTTTTTTTATCTTTCAGAGATAAGGAGATAAAAATTATACAATTAAAAAATAGTTGTATTTCTAATGAAAAGCACTATTTCCAACTTACAGCATTTATTTAGGTCAAGAAATATGCAACGATAAATATATTTTGATTTGAAATACTTAAAAAATATATGTTTCAATTTAAAAATTCTGATCATGTTTTATAATTTGCAATGTGAGTAATTATAGAGTTTTAATTTTATGAAAAAAACGTAGTAGCATTTTATAACTATATTTTATCATCAAATAGCAAACAAATCATAAACTATCAATAATATTGCTTTATTATAAACATTCCAGCAAATATTTTTAGATGAGAAATGATATAGAGAAAATTAAAGGGGATTAAAAATTATGAAATGTTTTTTGTTGATTTTTTAGCCATTAAATTTGTTTTTTAGATCCATAAAATAATATAACTATTCTATTTTTTTATATTTTAGCCTCCCTTGTATGTTTTTTTATTGTAATTTAATATATATGAAAAGGCTATAAAAAATATTAGGTGTTAAAAATTTAGGTTTACATGATTTAAAACATCATATTTACATTTTAAGGTGACGAAAATATTTAAGGAGAATGATTAGTTAGATATGATTCAAAACATAAAAAAGGATATCATAATAAATCAAAAGCATCTATCGAAAAAGGGTCAATTATTTATGCAAAGTCAACTAAGCGAAAAAAAATCTACCCTTCAAATAAACAATAACGTTACCTTTTATCTAAAAAATTGAAAAATGCTGTTATATAAACTATAAATTCAATTCTAATGAAGGAATCTATCACTTTCATTTTTTGAAAATCAAACTATAATCTTTATTAAGCAAAAGTTTTTTGGCACGACTGCCATAATATGATTTTTTATCGTCATTACTTTGGATGTAGAATTTAAGTTTGTTTTAGGTTTGATGTTGTCTCTTGATTGAATTCACAATATATTTACAATTATGTCTAACTTTGATAACTGATCTATACGTTCGTTATATATTCTACAGTGAAATTTTTCAAGTGCATATGAACTTACATGAAAATGCTATTAAATAGGGCAAATTTCATTCTTAAAATGATTTAGTAAGCATTAAGTAAAAGTCAAGATTTTTTTATTACAATTTAGCTAAAAATTAAACTGATTTTCATCTAAGCAATTTCATGATGACGTTCATAAATATCATCTTTCATATCAATTTATGAAAAAGTATAAGAAAACACGAAAAAAATATTTACTGATGATATAATGCATACAAAATATTTCGAGTTTTTTTAATGAAAAATACACATTTTTTTAAACTATATTCAATAAGAAAAAAATAAAATAGCATTTCAATTTTAAATCAAGCAATTTGCCTTTATGCAATGATTGGAAACTGGAAAAAATAAAACCCAAAATATAACAATTAAAAAAAACGATGGATTTTATATGATTTTATGGTAAATAAAGCAATTAATAAATTATTTTTATGGAAAATAATATATTTGTTAATATATCATTCGTACACATTATATTTTTGGTAAACATTTTTTACTTGTTGTTTAGACATTTTAACATGAAATTATATTTTCAATATAATAAATAAATAAAATAGCATTTTTTTGGATAGGCATTAAAAAGGTTATTTTAAATTACTTTTGGTATATATTTTATCAAAAGTTATTTATTATGATTCAATAAATAAATTAGATTCTCAAATTAAAATATTTTTGTGCTGTTTTTATTTACAATATTATATAAATTTTTTAATGCTCAAAGTCCACATAAAAAAAACTAAAGTTTCAAAATTTTCTTTTTTTTTGAAATTTGATATTTCACTAATATATTTATTTTTAAAATTATTTTTATGATGTATATACGGACGTAAAATTAGCATTCTAACATATTTTTAAACTATTTATGTGTATATCTTGATAATCTACACATTATTGTTTGATTTTAAAAAATCTAGAACAAATAATTAAATTAAAAATAAAAAATGATTTAAAATACTTTGTAAACTTTAAAGTAAGAATTTAATTTTAGATATTGATTATATTATAAAATTTGTAATATTTGGTTATTTTGGTAATATTAATACTATCTTATTTTTAATAATAAAAAAACACAGCAAATTAATTATTTATACAAATTTATTTAGATTCTTTGAAGCAGACTTATTGTATAATACTTTGTAAATTAACTTAAAATTGTGTATATAAAAATTTTCAAAAATATTTCTAAAAATATATTTTAAATTAGTTGTTAGAATAATTCTTATGCATTTATTAAATGACTATTATTAAGACAATGAAGAAATTGCATTTTATTTTGATGCAAACATAAATGACAAGAACGGGATTCGAACCCGCGCTCTTTCGAACTACGATCTGAACGTAGCGCCTTAAACCACTCGGCCATCTTGTCTTTAAAAAAAGTTTTTACATTTAAATGCTAAATATGTATGTTAGTTTTTTCTTTTAAATTAAATAAAAAATTGACAATTTGTACATTACTTTACAGATATAATAAGTATTTAACTCAAAATACTTTGCAAAGAGTAGTATTTTTTCTTAATAAAAAAATCATATTTGTAAAAATTTAATTTGAATACTAAATGAGAATTCAAAGTTATTTGGGCTAAATTTATGTTAGTTATACAGATTGTCTTGGGTTTTGTGCAATAAAATTTTATTTTAAGTAATAACAATATGTTGAATTCTTTATAACTAATTTTAATAACTTAGTTTCATGACAATTCTGTCAGAATAATTTAATTTAATGTATTTTAATTTCTAAAAAATAACTAAAATAAAGATTCTGCGAATTTTTAAATAGCTTCAGGCTATCGAAAATTAATAGTAGGTGCATTTTTTAAATTAATTTTTAAGTAATCGAATTGGTTTGCCTTTGCATTTAGTTCATGTAGAATAATAATTATACCAATTGTTCCCTTTTTAAAAAATTGTATATTCACAAAAAATACACACAAAATTTTCCTATGTAGAATTTTTAAATTTTAGTTATTTCAAAAAAATTGATTTTTAAAAAAACTAGAATATAAAAATTATTAAATTATACAAACCCAAATAATTTAAAACCATAAAAAACACAGAATAAAATATATTTACGATGAATATATTTATCTACATTATTCATCCTTTAATAAACAATTATAAAATATTACTTCAATAGCCATTTATCAAAAAAAATTTAACATCAACATGATAAAAGTAACAAAATTAAACAGCCAGAAAACAGTAGTTCTGAATAAACTTCATTAAGCTGAAAATCTAATCGTGTATGGTTCATTATTATTCAAATTATTTCTTATCAAGACAATAATTATCGTCAATCTTAGCCCTTTTGTATTTTTTTGTAATTCTTCGAACACACATTTTTTGTTTAATATAATTAAATAAGCGGGTTTGCCCGTGAATATTTTATTTGCGATACTTTATTTTAACGATTAAATCATTAACATATAAATTATTAAATTGTTTGAAAACAAAAAAATTAAAATTGTTTATATTTTTATTGATATTGCAGGAGAGCTATCGGTGTTTCTGCAAAATAAAGGAGTTACAAAAAAATTTTTAGAATCATCTGGAGCAAGCCACCAGGTTTTAAAAGAAAAAACCAAAACGAAATAAATTATTTAAGTCATTATGTTTAGAAACCGAAGCGAAAAGATGACGGCAGTGAAGAAGAAAGAAGGGGGCCAGTGATAGGAAGAGGCAAGTAATGATTATCAATAATAAAAATAAATATAAATCGTCGATACTTCAAAATAATAAAAAAGTTTTAAAAATTGAAATGTAATACTCTTAAATGATGTTAAATATGGTATCACTAGAAATTATTGAACCAATTTATTTTGTGTTTCAATTTTGAAATAGAAACGAATTGACAATGTTTATCAATTCTAGTTGTATCAGAATTGGAAATATATACTAGTCTATTAAAAGTTCGAGAATTAGGAAAGAGAATAAAAAAAATGTTTTAAATATAAATACTTTACATTTTAAAATTAATCTTGAACAATAAAAAAAACTTTTCTACTTCTTATTATTTTAATAAGAAACATAACCGTCATTATAATAATAAATTTATTTATAATAGGAATATTTTAGAAATATCCGAAATCCCTTTAGATACGACAGAATCCTTAAACAATATTTCTCTTTATAATTTTTACATATCTTTTCCACATTTATGTTACGAGGACTCCAATATGTATAAAACTATACTGCAAAATAGACTATTAGATTGGCTTTTTTCCCCTTAATATGTGGGGTATATCCCAAACTGTATCAAATCTGTAAAATTATTATAAACCAGAATAAATTTTATTAAAATTAATATAGGGGCAAAAAACACAATCTAAAATATAAAATATTTAATTGAACAATTAAAAAAGTTTTCACAGACTAAAAAACTAGATTTATTTATAGTTAAATGTTTTGATATGAAATTTATCATAAAAACATTCTTAAAAACAATATAAGAGCAGATTTAAAAAAATTATTTCTTTCGTAATTAAAATTTCAATGAAAAAGTTCTTGAAATTCAAAATATTTAAGGTTTTAAAAATAATAATTATTACAAATTTCTTCAATAATTACTATCAGAAGTTTGTTATATTTTTTGTTACATATATTGAAGGGGGAATTTCCTAGACTCTATAAAACCTCACATTCATCTTTACCATTGAAAAACAGAAATCTTCTCGCTTTAAAAAGTAATATTTCATCAAAAAACGATTTATATTTGATTTTCTTTAAAATAGACATATCAAAATATCGACGATATGCAGCTGAAATAAACAAAGCTTATATCAAATTAAATAATAAAATATAAATAAAAGACCATTCAAATTATATTTTTTTCATAAATTTGACTACTTTTATATTGATAAAATGACATAAACAGATTGACATAGATATTTTTTTTATCCAACAACACTTTTCGGGCATTGTAAGATTTTAAAATATTTAAACTATTATGATCTTAAGGAACAAAATAAATTAGCATTCAAAATTATAATAAACCATTATTTTTGTTGATTTAGTATAAATTTATATAATCAGAATAGTGTTATATTTTTCTTTTGCTATAAACATTTTTTATATCAAAATATAATTTTAAAATAAGTTTATTGGACATAACATCATCTATTAAATAGAATAATACATTAAAGCATAGAAGTATATTAATATATAGGCTGCCGTAAAAACAGTGACAATACTATACAACTGAACATAATATATTATTATCCTTGTCTGAAAAAAAAAGTTATAAGTTAAACTAAATTATTTTCAAATGCAGTCTGCATCAAAAATATTTAAATTAACACAAAGAGTTTTGACAATAGAATATATTTTTTTTGAGGGATAACATGCATTTGTCAGCATTACAAACAGTGTAAACATCCTAGAATGCGAGATAGATAAACTAAAAAATCCAATTTCGTCGAAAACAAAAAATTTTAAAACAAAAATTATGATAAAATTTTTATATGTCCAAATTCAAGGTAGTCAAATAAATTTATTAATATTATTAGGTATTTCTATCTATTATACAAAATTGTTATAAATTAATTAAATTAAGTGATTTCCAGCCGAAAAGTGCAAAGAAAAATTGATATCTCCTTTTTACTACATTTATTATTGTTAAAAATTTGGTTAATTGTTAAAGATCTTAAAAATATTGAATGCCTTTTTTATGAATTTCAATTAAATTATATTTTTTTGATAATAATCAATTTTTTTCTAATTATAATATGTTTTAAGACCGCGATTTTGCCGCTGTCCATCTAAAAATAAAAAAAATGTTTGTTTTACAAACAAATTATATTTATACTAATATTGTATGCATCCTCATTGATAAAATAATAACTTAAAAATCATAAATACAGCGAAAAAATATCTTTAGTTTAGATACGAGAATAATCATTTGAATTTAAACAATTTGCGCATTTTGTTATTATTTTTATATTTAAAAATAATCATATTGCTCTTTTTCTTCATTCTATGTGCACAGAATCAAATTAAATAGAAAGAATTCAGTCACATATCCTTTTTATATCGCCGATTTTTTTCAGAAAAAATTCACAAAGAAAAACTATTTTTTGTTCGCTTGTAATAATATTACACAAGTGTATATTGGTAAATGAGTTAAAGAAAATTGGAATTGTAATATTTATTAACGTGTTTTCTTGTTACTTTTATTTGAATCGAAAAGAAAAAAACACATTAATGTATTTTAAGTATTTTATATGAATGTCATTATATAAATAGCTTTTCAATTCTGCTCAAATTGCAATATTTTGTTTGATGTAGTAGTTTTTTTTGTGGATCCATTACTTTCTACACTTATTCTTTGTAAATATATGATATTTTTACAAATAAATATATCAAGGTAAAGATTATTTTTGTGTAAAAAAATTTTTTTAAAAAAGCGCTTTGAAAAATATATTAAACTGATTTTTTAAGTTCTAAACCAATGCAAACTAAGAATTTTTGTTCTATTAATTGATTTTTCTTAAAAACACAAACATCAAGCCATAAAATACAACCCCTTATTAATAATAATATCTGGATTATTTATTTACTAATAAAATATTAAGAAAAACAAAACAAATGATTGCTAATTAGACCATCAAAATGATTTCGTGTATTATTAATTTTGTGATAAAAGCAAAGCTGTCAAAGATATTTCATGTTGGTGTAAAGCGCTTAAGATTATAATTTGTTAAATGTAAAACCAAATAAAAATTTGTATAACACGCAATTTTTAAAAAATTGAGATTAACTCAGAAGAAAATAAAAAAAAATTGGATATTGTAAAGAAATCTTAAAAAAAAACGAAAATTAATCTTAAACTTTACAAGAAAAATTGATTCTTAAAATTTTTTTCCCGAAGCTTTATAAAGTGGTCATATTGAAATTTTTTTCTAAGTTTGAATTGTAAAAAGATATCAAAATATACATTTTTCATTTTTTTTGTCGAATGTCTCATTTTAAACGATATGGTTATGATCGGGACGAACTTTCGGTCAACTTAACTTGTTGAACCCAGAAGATTTTATGGAATGTAAATAAGACATTTATAACTCCTTGCTAGATCTAAACAAGCTTTATTTAATCTTTTTTTGTTTTTTAATTGAACTAATTGTATCAAGTTGACTAATCAACTGTTAAATACATCATTTTTATATAGTTTCTAAAACATAAAACATCAAAAACATTAAACATCAATAATATCAATTATAAATTGTCTCAAACAAACAATCATATGTTTTCTTGATTTTTTAATTCAGACTCAACAATAATATGATTAATTATTCTGATTTGTACGCAAAGTTCATATTTTGTATGGCATTATATTAAAATTCGTCAGAATTTATTATAACTTTAAAAGAATAT